TAAACAATTTAAATACATTCAAACTAAACATTCAAATAAAACATTTTAATGCAAGTTAGGTCATTTCTGAGCTACCAAAAACTCCACAAAACCAGCCGCTACAGAGCTGTCAGGTTCAGCGTGAAGATCGTCAATGAAACTCTCAACCTTTACAACCAGTAAATAACTGTTTTTTTTGTTTTTGCTCGTGATCATAAATAGTTGTATGTAAGTTATCAGGATTCTTTTAGGTTCATTTCATATACACACAGTTACTCATTTTTAATTTGATTTGTATGAATTTAGTTAGTAAATTTAAATATAACATTTGTGATGAGATAACTGAATATATATTTAAATGATATTATTTATAAATGTCAGTACAGTCATATCTAAGTGTACTAGGAACATGGTGGTCGTTTTGCACTGTTCCAAAGAAAGTGAGAATCTAAAACCACATTTATATGTCCATATTGTTAACGCATGTTGTATATATATCTATACATATATATATATATATATATGTGTGTGTGTGTGTGTGTGTGTGTGTGTGTGTGTGTGTGCGTGAGTGCTTTGCTTGAGTACGTGCGAGTGTGGCGTGTGTGTTGTGTTCTTACGTGTAAATTATAAATATTTTCACTGACCTAATTGAAACTAAATAAAGATTGTGGCACCAGATTGTTGAACCCATCAAAGCTGGAGAGAAACTACGTGATTCACGGGATGAAGTCAGTAAAGGGAGAATTTCCGTGGCATGCGAAGATAATGTGCCAGAATATTTTGTGTAGTGGCACGGTCATCAGCTCGCGCTGGGTGGTCACGGCTGCTCATTGCGTTGTCAAGAAGGACGAGACTAGGTCTTTTATGTTTTATTTCGACTTTTTTGGTTTATAAATATCCTTAATTTATTTATTAAAATATCTTTATTTAAATATTAAATATCTTATCTAAATATTAAATATCCTTATTTATTTATTTATTATTATATCCTTAATTTATTTATTAACTAATTTATTAAATATTTTTAATATAGCTAATCTAAAACTAAGTTTGTAGGGTTTGTTAATTGTCAATATCTGAAATTTGTTTCATTTGCATTAGCCTGCACTTTCGACCAGCCCTTGAACGTTGAGCCTGGCTTCATTAATTATAATTAGTTATTCAGTAAATAAGATGATGTAACAAAATTTCATAATTAAAATCTTTTGTCTAAAATCATTCATTGCTTTAAGACAGGTCGCAATAATCTTTGTCAAACAAGATGCAACAACCTGATTCGGATTCGGGAAAACATTTCTCGGTATTATCATTTTAATTGTAGTAATTTATTAAATTAATAAAAATATTAATATTATTATTTATTTTTATTGTTATTAATATCAGGAGCGTACTATACACAAGTGTGAAGATCTCTAATTATTTTAACAAAGCAATGACGCAATTTTTTTTCCTAAGCTTGCCGACTTTTTAGATTATTAAATTATTTCAAGTAAAAAAACTTCTTATTAAACCTAGTCAGTGTTCTTTTAAAACAAGAAAAAATTAGCAGTTTCCGACCGGTCGTAAGTTTGATTTTATTTTCTTTCTTGTGGGGGCCCCTGGAAAATAGGCCTGCCTCCTTTTGTTCAAATCTGAGCTCGATTGATATTATTGTGAATATCGTTTTTACTGTTGTTGTTGTTGTTGTTGTTGTTGTTGTTGTTGTTGTTGTTTTGTAACCGATATCTAGTCTGAACTTGTAATGTTCTCTGGGAAATAAATTTTTCGATTCATTTTTTCTAAATTTAAATTAGAATGACATCATTAAAATTTGAAAAAAAAATTTAATTTTTCTTAAAATTTTCGTTAAAAATAAGTGTTTCAAAATTATACTCTGAATAAAAAGATACAAAGCCTACAATGTTGTTGCACCAGAAGATGGTAGTAAGGAAAGGTTGTGAGGAAATAGTGAATAACTTCAACCCAACAGCCAACCTCTGCATCGGGACGGAAGATGGATATGGCCTGCCCAATGTTTGCGCGGTAGAAAAACTATTTCCATTTCATTTTTTTTCCTGCTGTCTAAAGGCACTAAATAACTTTTCATAAAATTAATGTCAGAAGAGCTATCGCTAAAAATTATTTTCAATATGTTTAATCACTTCGCTTCGAAAATTCAGGGAGATAGTGGTGGACCATTGTCTGCAAGTCAGTGGCCGAAGATAGATGGACGCTCTTTGGTATACATAGCTATGTATAAGGTTGGATATATTTTCAATCAACAAATGCTTATCTTGGGAAAGATTTATCTGTTGTTATATTATACAAAATCATGTCGCAAGTTATGTTACATGATTAAAAAAAACATTCTTTTTCTGTAAAATGTTTAATTATGTGTTTTTCAATACTTTTTAAATGATCGTTATAGGAGCCAAAAATTTAAATTTAACAAAAAATTTGAATATAAATTATTTCCAAAAGACTACAAACATAGTTCTAAAAAATAGACAACGTTCTCAATACTTTGATAAATTTTAAACAACAATATAACTGAAAGCAGCAATTTGTGACAAAATATCTACTATGCCTCTTATAAGGTAATAATAAAGGTTAAAAGGTTAAAGGTCTATTACAATTTTCCTGGAATAATTGAATTATCTCATGGTAAGATTATTCAATTGTAACCTAATTGCTCCCTGACGTGCGACCAGGCTATGCAGTTACAAAGGAGAAAAAGATGTCAGAGTTCTGTCAGACGAGTATTGATGTCAGCGTCTACGCCTTCCTCGAATGGATCACCACGAATGTGGAAAAGAATTAAATGATTAATTAATTAATAATTAATTAACTGATTAATTCGTTTATTAACTCAATAATTGAAATATTTCCTAAATAAATTGTCGTCTGTTTTGGATATTTATTACTCTAATGTTTATTAATTAATTATTTAATATATATTAAATCCTTTTATTGAAAAAATTGTGTAGTTGTCGACGTTAACTAATATTTTGTTATTTATATTATTATATTATATTATATTATATTATATTATATTATATTATATTATATTATATTATATTATATTATATTATATTATATTATATTATATTATATTATATTATATTATATTATATTATATTATATTATATTATATTATATTATATTATATTATATTATATTATATTATATTATATTATATTATATTATATTATATTATATTATATTATATTATATTATATTATATTATATTATATTATATTATATTATATTATATTATATTATATTATATTATATTATATTATATTATATTATATTATATTATATTATATTATATTACATTTACATTACATTACATTACTTTACATTACATTACATTACATTATATTACGTTACGTTACATTATATTATATTACATTATATTACTATAATATTTTGACATTGGATGTCAATTAATAAAAACTTCGTAAAAAAAAACACACAGAAAAACATCGAATAAAAAACTGGTATAGAAAATTATAAGGGTTTTTTCTCTGCTGATTCTGCGATCTATTTGAGAAGTTAAGTGAATGTAAAATTAATAAAATTATTTTACATACAATAATATATCTCAGAATTTATATTATCTGACGTAATAAAGATTAATTATAAAAAAATAGAAATGTGTTTTGAAGAATCTAACTTTTATCTGGTTCTTGTCCATTTATTCCTTCTCTTTTTTTTCTTCTCTTTATATATTTTCTTAATGATGTTGTCCGTTATAATTGAAGGAGCCAACTCTTCATAGAAAAATAACTCGACTCGACGCTGAAACAACTTTTTATGTTTTGACGTTGTTGTTTACATTACGGACAGCTAAAGTAGAGTTTAATAATAAACAACAAATTTTTAATTATAAACCATATTTCATTCTGACATCTGCTGAATAAATAGTGACTAAATTTGTTTGATCAGACTATTTTTGCCATTCAAAAGCTGATTTTTAAGTGTATAACGGTTGAAAATTTTTGATAGAGAGATGGCAGACCTTAATGAATCGATTTTTAATATGTGAGTTGTTTTTGTTTCTATGCTGGCCTGTCTGACATGTTTTTACTTCAAATGTGTTATAAGTTGTTTATCGATTTAGCATAATCGTTTTGATTCGTAATATTCGTAAAACTTTCAATGTAGCAGTTTCAAATGGCAAAATGGATAATCAGCGTATATATTTTTCTGTGTTATTTGCAATGGAGGTATTAAACATGAACTCCAAAAACATTTCAGTTTATTGATCTTCTTGCTTAGTATCACGAAAAATAAAAAATACGGTTACATATATTTGAATGTTTTAATTGCAAAATAAATGAACAGATCCTTTGTGACTCACATCTTCAAATCAGGAAGAACCATACAGAGTCCTCTCACGTCCAAGTACTTCATGACCAGGCAGATCACTTTCTACTGGATCTTCATGTCAACATTCAGTATTCTGCTAACCACGGTTGCCCTTCACTACCTGTCTCACAGTTTGATTGACATTTCGTCAAACATATTTTTGAAAAGTTTGTTTCCAATTGATGCATGCATTGTGTAACAAAATGAATTAAACGACTACTTTGATTTTTTTTATTTAGTTTTCGGTAAAGTGACATCGCTCCATGGTTGGTTGTTGATCATTTGATGTCAATAATTAAAAAAATATTTTAATTTGTTGCGATATATTCCGAAAGATTGTCCTCACGGAACGGTAATTTACTGCAAAGAAACAAGACAGTGTCTGAAAAATAGTCTGATCTGTGATCGTTTTCAGGATTGTCCAGATGATAGTGACGAGACCAACTGCAGTTTGCATATTTTTCAAGTTTTGGCTATTTTAAATAATTATGATTAAAAAAATCAAATAACAAGGCAAATATTTGAAATTTTCAAGAAATACAATTTTATGTCTTGACTTAATAATTTAAATCAACAAAATCAACAAAACAAAATGTTTAAAAACTTTAGATAACAATGTTATTGAACAAGTCTAAAAATAAAATGCAAACCAACCCACTTGGAAACAGCATGCTTGGATAAGGAGTATGCGTGCAAGCGAGGAAGGTGTGTTTCCACGTTGTTCCTTTGCGACAAAGTCAACGACTGTCCCCAGAGAGATGATGAGGGCGAGAGAGTGTGCGGTATTTCACACGTTTACATCCTGTTTTGTCTGTCTTTTTAGAATTAAAATTAACGTGTTTCAACTTGGTGCTGTTTGTTCTAACAATAACATATATATGGCAAATACGGTATTTAATTATTTTGTTTAATTAACCTGAGGACATTCTTCTAGAAAACTCCACAGCATTTTAAGATTTTTAAAAATCTTGAAAAATATTTAAATTGTACTTAGAAACTAAACTCCAAAAATGTTTTTCATTTAAATTTTGGAGGTTTTGAAGAATATAACAGCAAATATCTGTACCAAAACATCTGTACCATACTAAACATGAATTTAGCGAATTTTCACCCTAAGCCACCCATGAAACATCAATATAATATGAACATTACTTACTATTAACTTACTAATTAAACAGTACTATCAAAATTCTAAAAACATAATCACGTGGTAGGAACCGCAATTTAATGGTAACTGTAGTAACTACTTCACGTTGTCCAACAAAGTAAGGTCATTTCCATTTACATACTCCAATAGAAGGTTTTCATTTTGTGACAGGCAAGTGCCATTATGACGAATATCGATGCCGTGGCAGGAGACTACGCTGCATACCGAACGTAAAAGTCTGCGACTACACGCCAGATTGTGAACAGGGCGATGACGAACAACAGTGCGGTAAATTATTTATTATTGCTGTAATAGAGCCGAACTTTTGATCAAAAACTGTAAAATGTCATCATAAATGAACAATGATTTCAATCAACAAGCAGGGTAATAAAACCCGTGAAGCTGAGAAATATGAAATAGGTTTACATTTATTTTTCTGTTGACCTCTAAAACAATTTTACGTCGGTACTTGCTTGTGGTTACTCATGAGAGAGTTGTGAAAGTTTTGCACAGCAAGCGATCAAACACTGTTTTGTGCGTGTCGTCTTCATATGTTTACCCGTGCGCACTTTTGACAGCATCACCTGGCTGCTTTCAAACTTTAAACAAATATATCGAAACGCACTTTAACGTCGTTTTAAAACTTAGTCTATATTAAGTTTAAAATTCCCTGTTAACGAAATCGGTTTTGATGTCAACTCTCTCCAATCTGCAGTCAGTTCTGCTACTTTGAATAATCGAATTTATATGTATATATAATCAAATGGTGCAATGGTATTTTAACGATAGTTGTAATGAATTCAAAAGTTAAAAATCCAAACAGTTCACATATCTGGCAAAGGAGAACTGAAACTAACCCTGAAAGGGAAAACATATTTGAATGTTTGTGCAAAGTTCTGGCAACCTCAGTGGAACGACATTTTTTGCAAAAAGGCGAAATTTCCCACATGTAATTTATTTTGTTGTTGATCAATTCAAACCGATTATTATTTACATTTAATAATTTCTTTTGTAGTAAAGTTATTTGAAATTAATATCAAAAATCTAACACATATTCTCACTTACTTTTATTTTACCTTTTTCTTATTTAAGCAAGCAAGCAAATTATTCAAGCTTTGTGAAAAAAATACGTCTCGTACTCTTTTATTCTCTTTTTTCTCTCTCTCTCTCTCTCTCTCTCTCCCTCTCTCTCTCTCTCTCTCTCTCTCTCTCTCTCTCTCTCTCTCTCTCTCTCTCTCTCTCTCTCTCTCTTATGAACTTTGACTTGTTTCTTGTTTAAAACTTAGAAATATTTGATTAATGACCAGCACAGCTATCGGCAACAAAATCATGCGCAAAGTGATTTCGTACAATGCAACTACATTCGACGTAGATATCCTAGAGGAGGAAAATATGAAGATCACCAACATGTTACCATATCCTTCATTGTTTAATATTAATGTCTGGAAACAAAATTAATAGTTATATCTTTAATGTTTAAATATTTACTTTTATAGTTAATTCATTCGGTCAGTTTTTTGAAGTTTAGTTAGAATACTAATAAGAATTTAGCCAATAAATGCGGTAGAATCAATTGAATGGTTTCAATGTGGTTGATATCGGGTAGTGACTGACTGGCCGTGAAGTACTAAGATTGGGTTGTAAATAGTAGTTTGTAATACCGATATTATTTAACAGTAATGCTGATATTAATTAGTTATACTGATTAATTAAATTTTTTCCAAAAAAATAAATCTATATATATATAATTAATTTTATTAATATCGCTAACAGAACTTTCGTGAGATCATGTCAAAATAATCTCGTTATTACTCTACAGTGTTTGAAAGAAAGTTCGTTCATAACGTAATTTGTAAACCACCAACTTTTTCTGATGATATTTAAGATATATTTAATATGTTTAATTGATGGTATTCAAGTCACAAACTTTTTGTTGATCAGTTTGTGGCACAAGATTGCTGAATTCCTCAAGGTTTCAAAATAATTACATTGTCCATGGCAAGAAGGTTGAGAGGGGCGAATTTCCGTGGTATGCCAGATTAACATGTGAAACAATATTGTGTGGTGCAAGCATCATCAAGCAACAATGGTTGGTCACTGCTGGTCATTGCATAGTTCAACTAGATGGACGTAGGTTAATATTTTAATTTTAATAGTTTATTTTTTCATTTGACTCTAGCAAAGAATAAATTTATTGTTAGATTTAGTCCTAGTCAGTGTAGCGTATCAGTGGGAGCCGTTTTCAAAAACGATAGAAACTGGAACATATACAGAATAGAAAAATTTATTGTTCATGATAAGTACAGTAACAAAGGAAACGACATTGCTTTGATAAAGTTGAACCGAAAATTGACATTCTCAGCTTTCGTGCGACCAGTCTGCTTGCCGAGACAAAAATACACTGTATCAGATTTTCCTATTTGTGTGGCCATAGGTCTCGGGAAAACTATCCGAGGTTTTCTTGATGTTTAGTAAAATGCATTTGTAATTATTACTACTAATACTGCTACTGCTACTACTAAAAATTTAAAAAAGTTCGTGTCTGTTTTTAGAAGCTTCCTTCTCAAGTCTTTGCATTTGTTTTCAATTTTAATATTCAACACAATCGATTTGAGCAAAATAAAATATTACCACACTGGCACACACACCTACAAACATATTGCAACAACTCTATTAAATCTCACATTGCCTCACATTCAATTGCAAACACGCAATAAAGACACACGCAATTCTTATATGCGCGAGTATGTATGTGCCAAAGTGTATGAATATGTATCAGCGTACAAGTGCAAACTATCATGCGTTCCTTCAGTTCTGCCACCAAGGTATGATATTAATTAACACTGCAAGATTTGCAGTTATTACCAGACAAATCGCAGTCAGGAGTCGGAGATTCTTGCCGAAGTTGAAATTTTTGAGAGGCAGAGGCGGATTTTTTCATCCGACTCCGGCAAATTTTATTAATTTTAAAAAAATTATATTTTCTAAGATTTCTTTAAGATGTTATTTTATGGAAAATAAATATGTGTAGCGCTATGCAATCATCTATAATACTGAATATATAGGCACGCTAGTAAAGTAATACAATCATATAATTTTTTCAGTTCGTTTTAGACTAGATAATGTTTAGTTCAATTTTATGAATGTTGCACACACGCCTGGATACAATAACAAACTTTAAATATTCCTACACGGATAGTCAAATAAATTATTGAGTTGACTTGCAAACATACGATTTGAAGAATTTAAATTACTCTGTGTAATTGTACAAATTGTTACTATCGTCAATGACTTGAGTGGACCCGCAACCATTTCTGTCACTTTTTTTGATTTTTTTTGTGAAATAGATATGGATGCAGATGTTTTTGTTGCAGCAGTCTCTACTACTCTTCCTTTTTTGCCGAATTCTGTGCTTTAACTTATAAGCTTAGTAAACTGGGGGATGCTGTTCTTATGTATAATAAAGAGCTAAAATTTTTGTTTTTACTTCAACATTTTTATTCAATATACGTATATGTACAAGTACATAAATGAATTTAAACTGTTACAATAATTACTGTAAGATTTTTTTCTACAATTTCAAATTCAATTCAGAAATTTGCTGCACTGCACTAATAACTTCTACACAGTGTCAGAGTGTGTATGAGTAAGATGCAACCTGTACAAATTAATTTTAAAACATGTTAGTGTAAAAACTGTACTGCCAACGAAGGAAAAAGTATTCAGAAAAATTATTTAGACAATTATTATTTACTTAATTTTACATGTTTTAAAAGTTGAAAAAATAAGAACTAGAGAAAACCGAAATTATTTTAATATATGTAAAATGTGGAGCACATTGCCGTGAAGTTTCTATCGCTGTCTTTTTTGAAACCATAAGTCCGACCCATAACGCATGGAGATTATAAACGAGGATTGATTGATTTTTTTGAAACCATGTCCGAAAACATAATGTAATTATCTGATTATTCATATTTGAAATTCAAATTAGTTAGTTCAGCTCTGTTCAGTGCTATATCTAATCTAAATGTTCTTAATGTTTGTAAAAATTATATAAGAATTGCTTTTGGTCATAGTAAATTTGCACATGTGAGTCAATATTGCCATGTAAATAAGTTATTAATGCTTAACCAATTGCACATTTATTATTTATTTATAAATTATTTAAGTTAAGTTATTGTCCACTTCTTTTTCATCAAACTAGTCGTTTCAATGATAATCGTTCAAATGTTCTAAAAAATTCTGATGTTATTTGCCCACACTTCGTACAAATTTTTTCCATAGCTGTTTTCTTAGTTTCGTTCGTCTTTGAGATTTTTGCCAGTGTATGTTAAAAAATCTTCATCCATTGGTATATTTAAAAATCATGTTAGAGGCTGACTATTATATGATTACTTTCTTATGTTACATAGTTACATATGTTTCACGTAATGTAATGTTTTTGTTTAGTTAAATTTAAATTATATTATGGTTCATTTCTTTTTAGGCATTTACATTTTTTCATTTAACGGATTTTGATTAATATCGATTTTTATTGTTCTTGGTGGCCATACAAGCTCCTGGGGTTTCCGCGTCTCCCTGGTTGTTTGCAAAATAAAATCTTTTGAATTTTTTTTATTAGTGGTAAAGGTGAAATTATGATACAAAAGTTGAAAATTCATTTTTCTGGAAGTGGGAACCCGGAATTTTTGAGGGGCCGGAGTCGGATATTTTTCGTCCGGCTCCGGCACAGGTTATTACATGCGCTTGTCAAAAATTAAATATTTTCAGTCAAAGAAATGAATTTAATTATACCAGACGAAACATCCTCTGTTCTAATGCAAGCAAACATGGCAGTTTTAATGAAAGATTGTGAGCGAATAGCAGGCTACAGTGCCTCATCCAACATTTGCATCGGCACACATCGAGGCCATGGCCACAGTAACATTTGCGTGGTAACAAATTCATGTATTAATTATTGAAATTTCAAAATAATATAAAGTAAATGTTAGAAAGTACGGTAGGTATTTTCACTTGTTTAATCAATATTTATAACAGATAATTATTGAAATTTCAAAATAATATAAAGTAAATGTTAGAAAGTACGGTAGGTATTTTCACTTGTTTAATCAATATTTATAACAGATAACACCATTTTATAGTACCTGAAACTATTTTTTCACAAATCTTTCATTTTATTTGTAGGAAAAATTATTTTACACATTTCAAAACATTTTTATAACATGAAAGGGTGACAGTGGCGGACCCTTCATGTGCAAATCCTTGGCAAAAGACAAATGGACAATATTTGGAATACACAGCTTTGTAGCAGGTTATAAACTAGATTGGGGGTGGGCAAACTATGGTCCGTGAAGCCATTTTATGTAGCCTGCAAGGCCTTTCCCACAATTTCAAAAAATTTAAAAATAAAATTAACCAAAAAAGGTCATCAGCCAGATAATATGAGCAAAAAAAGAAAGAACTTGTTACAACGGTCAAAAAAAGTTTGCCCACCCATAAACTAGTTGATAGTTTGCAGCTAAATTCCTTTAGCAGCAGCATTTAAATGTAGACATTTATTTTCCATCGTTCAGGTCACAGAGTTACAACTGACAAGTATGTTGTTTCAGAGTTGTGCCAAGCGAGTGTTGACACAAGTGTATTTTATTATATCAATTTTATAACTGAAACAATTAGCAGCTGAAACCTTTATCTTTTCAGACTAAAAACTTAATACTTCTTAATAGCCTTTTATAAACATTGAAATTCAAACAATAAAAAATTGTTCCAAACATAATGATGATATAAATTTAATAAAATTTTTTCTATTTTTGTCATAAAATGTAATAATTTTTTGATATTTATTATAAACAAATAAATTTATTTATTTGTTTATACATTTAGTGCTATATCTTATCTATATGTTCTTATATTTCATGTGCCAAAAGTCTTGCTACCAAGCCATAACACACACCTACAACTGCCCAAGATACTTAAATTATATTATGTGCTAAAATACACAAAACCAACAAAAACATGAACATAAATTAGTTAGATGCTATTACATTAAGAACTAAGTTGAACTATTAAAAAAATTGCTTTTTAAACTTTAAGTATGAGTTTCAAAGTCCAACAAATGAAAAAAAAGAAACTGTCAATATATGTGAATTTTAAAAAAATCTACAACATGAAAAATCATCAAGATTGATATTTACAATGCTCAGCAATGATCTTTATCAACTGATCAATCTCTTCAACTGTTAATCTTTCTTCACTTTCTTCAACTAATAACTGAATTTCAACTGCTGTTCTTGGCAAAGTATTCACCAGCTAAAAAGTTGTGCATAAACAGACATAGATAAGACAAATTAATTATGATTAAGATAAGAGATAAAAAAATAAGAAAAAAGAAATATTAATAAATAAATGAAAGGTGTGTACAGTGATAACTTTCAACTGCTTAAAAATTAAAAAAAATTAGCATTAATAAAAGAAGGCCAACCTGCAGCTTTTCAGCTTTTGTCAATTTAAATTTTTTAAAGTCGTTCATGAGAGCGTGAACAGTTTCTGAGGTCTGCAAACAACATGGTTCATTCTCAAAATATTTCAAAACTTCGTAAGTTATTGTGGCCAAATTATTCTGATCAACTCCAGGTTTGAACTGACCGTTTTTGCCTTCTTTCACATCTTTTAGGAACGATATGACTTCTAAATTACTTAACAATACTGAATTAGGATTTACAATGTTCATGATTTAAAGTTTAATTAAACAGAACTTTCATTTGCACACCTTTGCTGTTAACATTTAGTAATAAACCGCGTTTGTTAAATTTACATGCTCCAACCGTGGATACATATATATATATAATCCAACATATAAGTATGGAATGTCGAAATAGTTTTGAGTTAAAATGTAAACATAAGAACATTTTCAAAAATCTTCCCGGTCTTGAAAAAAATTTTCAATAAAGTTGTTTAGATCCGCCACTGAAAAAGTGACGCCCACAAAAATAATGTCAAAATCGGCTTCGATACATCAAATTAACAAACGTCAGTCATTTTCCAAACATTCATTCTTTGCCCGTTATGGTAGTTAACTATCGAAGAGCAATGTAAGTTAAAATACTTTTCAAAAAAGTTCAAACGAATATTCCAGTCCATTGGACGCTCATAAATAAGTCACTTGAATGTGCGTTTTTTGATTGAAATTTATTAAAATTTGGTCTTGTTCATTTCGTACATCTACTTAACTATTGTTTTACGTATCCATTTTTACGTTTTACGTATCCAACAAGAATAAAGATGTTAATCGAAATTGAAAATTATCAACGGTTTTGACCGATTCATTTCAGAATTCTCCATAACCTTGTATGTGTAAACTTCCTGTAAACCAACGAAAACTACAAAAAATTCAAATAAGGCTATTAAAAGTTATAACAAATGAACAAGCGAATAAAATTATCAACAATAATTTATTCACGCATCAAAAATATTTTATTTACAAAACTAGATATTTTAATTTAGCTCTCCAGTTTCCTTTTCTTAAATTTACCATCTTGTGAACTAAACTTTTTACGCTTTTTCGCGTTGGACAGTGCACCTACATCTGAAAAAAAGATAATTCAAATGTTTGAACTACAATGATATGAGTTTTACAACTAAACTGATGACAGCTTAAAAATTTTAGAGGCAAAATATTAAAATAAATTTATTCAAGGATCACGAAAATATTTTTACTTAGGTCGACAAAAGGCGGTGTAGAAAATCCAAACGACAATGCAACTTTTTGCAAGTCTAAATTATGAACATCAAATATTGCTTTCTGTGAATGTGCTGCATATGACCGAATGTAAGATTTATATCCTTCTTTTGCCACTTTGTTTAGATAGTAATTTCGTGACACAAGCTGTTCCAGCTATGCAATCATTTATTTAAAAAAATTAAGAAAGATTTTTTAGGTTATAATAAGATAATAATTACCTGGGACTGAATATTATAGACTTTTTTCCAATTCATCTCGTATTCATTCAGTGGAATTTTTGCCTTTTTCAAAAACTGCAAGAAGCCTATTTCATCTGGCATTAAAATCAACATTGCATTTCCAGATGCACCCATACCTCTGGCTGTCCTCCCGACCCTATGTATATATTCCTGTCAAAGATGGGCAGATATGCACACTTTGGTTTCGTTTTACAAACAATTTTTATCCAAAAAATATTTCAAAAACATTTGCAAGATAAAACAACTGAAGTTATTTAATAACCATATAAAAATAGAACACATACGTTAGGATCATCTGGAGGGTCGAACTGAACAATCCAGTCAACCTCTGGAATGTCCAATCCCCTAGCAGCCACATCCGTACACAACAATATGGATTTTTTGCTTTTACAGAATTGAAAAAAAGTTTGCGTCCTTGTGGCTTGCTTTTGTTTTCCCTGTGATGTTCGAAAAAGAAAATTTTTAAACCATCGTTGTATGAGTTTATTAAATATTTATCAGTTGATTTATATTTATTAGAGTTCAATTATTTGACTGTTAAGAAACTTAATTTTGCTTGTAAGAACAATTATACACCTTAACAAAATGTAAGAATATAATTATCATGGCTGCAACATTCGGAGACATCATAGCTTCAAATTGTCTTGTCCTTGACTAATATATCAACATTTTATACTAAACTTTCTTGTCTTATTTTAAAACAATATCTGTCTTGCTCTTTTACTGACTAATCTTAAAGAAAACCATGATAGAAACTGTCTAATAAAAATGTATCACAATTGTTATATCTCAAAGTCGTTGACTTGTGTTTAAAAATACTACTTTGTCTCAGCTATTAGTAATAATCAGTAGAAAATAGAAAACAAAACTCTATAACTAAATGCCACTGACAAAATTTTTTAAATCTGAAATATCAGATAAACATAAAAAACTTACATGTATGCACATAACTGGCAAATCAATGTAGTTCAGGAGATCATTGAAATATTTAACGGCATTGCAGGTACTAAAAAATATCATGATCTTTTTGTCTTTGATTTTTTTCATGAATGTGTACAAGACTAAAAACCGTTTTTCAGGTGGGCAGATGATGTAACCCTGCAGAATATAAAAAAACTCAATGATATAATAATTAGAAAATGTTCATTTGTCGTGTTGATACCTGTTTCAATCCTTCAACTGTGGCTGCAACTTTCTGGTCATCCACACCTACATACATGGGCTCTTTCTTTAGAGATATTTTAGACAAATCTTCTATATTTTTAGTCTGGGTAGCTGAGAACATCATAGTCTGGCGATTTTCTAAATTTGTAAGATAAAAATAAAAAGGTTACCAACATGTTTATGCGAAAAAATTTACTGAAACTTCTTAAGTGGTTACAGACTTGGTAAGATTCTTATGATCTGCTTCATATCCTCCTCAAATCCATCCTGCAAAATTCTGTCAGCCTCATCAATGACAAGTATTTGAAGGTTCTTGTACACAAAATCTGAGGTGTTCTGTAAGTTTATTTAGATGCTAAATTAAACAATGAAACTTCAAGAAATAGTACAAGTAAATTCAAATAAACTGTCAAATCAAAACAAAACCAAACAATTCGGAACATTTTAAATGAAATTAAGGGACAAACTTGCAGATGGTCCAAGAGTCTTCCTGGCGTGGCTACAAGTATGTTGACACCTTTTCCCAATTTTTTGGCTTCTTGCTGCCTGTTGGCACCCCCCATCACCAGTCCAAATGTGTGCTTGTGGAACTGGAGAAGCTCCTTCAAAACTCCATACGTCTGCATGGACAGTTCTCTTGTTGGGGAAATAATTATTGCACCTGTACCTAAGCATGCAAAAATTTAATCTTTGAGTTATAACACTATTTCGAGACAATTCCTTGAGCTGATTTTGTAAAAAGTTTTTCAAACTAAATCATAAAAAAGTAATTTACATTTACCATTTCTAGTCTTGAAAGCAAGGTTGTGGATAAGTTCAACAACTGGAATAAGAAAAGCCAACGTTTTTCCACTGCCAGTCTTTGCAGCACCCATCAAATCCCTATATAAAAAATTGAAAATATTTGCTCTTACAATATATACAAAAAAATAAAACATACAGAAAAAAAATCAGCCAAAATATAGCTCCAGTAATCCTTGATAAATGCTAGTTTTACAACATCCTGTCAGGTTCACGGTTCTGTGCAATTTCACAGCAGGTCATTAATTTACATGCTCATGTTATTTTATTTAATGTCAATGCAGCATTCTTAAATCATCTTACGTGCATCCCACCACATTCTCTTTAACTAGTAACTCAACATGCATTTATCTTTAAAATTATCTGAACAGTTTCCTTCAAACGTAATAAGGAATAAATCCAAACTGACCTGCCCTCAAGAAGGGAAGGTATGCATTGAGCCTGGATGGGAGTCATCTCTTTAAATCCCATCCCTTTAATTGCTTTCAAGCATTCATCTGAAATGTGCCCTTCCAAAACATTGAACGATTTGTCTTTCAAAATTTTAACAGCTAGATCATTTTGAGCACCTATAAATGTTTTAAACAGGGAAGGTTTAAGTAATAATTTGCAATAATGTATTATTAAAAGATTAGATAACTGTGATTTGCATGTAACATCTAAAGTTCACCACAAATATAATATAAAAATATAATTTAAAAAATGTTATTTACGCCTAATAAACAAAACATTAAAATTAAAATATGCAAGCAAGCTAGCTTATCAAGTTGCAGTTAGCTGAAAATATTTTTGTTGATTGTTGCATACTAACATGCGATGCCCAATGACAGTGAAATTTTAAATGTAATTTAAAAATTGAATAAATAAATATATATATATATATATATATATATATATATATATATATATAAACAACTAATGGTTATATATACATATTCACAAGTGTATATGGAACGCCTATGACATATTGATATTGAATTATAACATTATGTTACTAATTTCCATTGATTTAGTTTTAGTACAGTTATTTAGTTAATATAATATAATATAATATTATAAACCAAGTTAAAAAAATTCATTCTAGGGTAATTAAGCAACAAAATAGAGCAAGAAATAATAGCTCAAACAAGAGATAAATTTAAATTTTCTCTAACACTACATCATCATGAATAGAATTTATAATTTATATTTGATGAATTTTTGTAGATTTTAGACAATGCCAGCTCTGTTAATAAAATATTAACTTTTTTAATAAACATTTGCAGTTTGAAAAATTTAGAATATTGAACTTAGTGATTTATATTGATATTCATTTTTGATATAGAATTCACCGAGTCAACTAGTATTGAATAAAAATATTATTATTATAAAAATATAAATAAATAAAATTGCATCTGTTTGTTTGAAGTGTGAATGTGAATTGAAATTGAATTTTAAGGATAAATAACAATTATAAAAGATAGAAGAAACAATTAGAAAAATATACTGAACACACTTGGCACAATCTCCTGCGATTCCGAATTATTCATTTCTCAGACGGGGCCAGTTAGGTCAAAAGAAACTTTTGTCACCACCTCGCGACGATCTTTGATGAACGATATTACAAACTAAAACGCCATAGGTAAAAAACAAATGCTTCATCGTAGTACACATACTTCTATATTCTATAATAAATTCTATATTGAATTTTCTATATTTTATGATGCATAATATTATGCTATATTTTTATACTCTACTAATTTTTAATTTTTTTATTGAAATTTCTTGAATTTAATGTTTCTCCGCAATAAAAGAGATTTTTTAATTGCAACTTGGCATTGCACTTACCCATATATATATAGAATATGTATATGCTCTACATATAACAGCCCTTACCTTAATTATCATGTTCTATAAAATTGACCTATCATAATCTTTTTAAATACTGTTACAAAATAAAATTGATTTTGAAGCAAGAAGTACAACATCGAGGTAACACTATTTTTCTTATTTTAAACAAAAATTCAATAAGTTACAAATAAAGAATAACTAGTTCTGATTTTATAATGACGCAAAACTTTTAAGTTATAACTAATGTTATAGTTCAGTTCCTATTGTATTATTTTATGCATATATATTTAGAATTCATCATGGAATTCGGAATTCATACATTAATTTTGTCAATGTTATTTAAACTTTCCATACACTTGAGTGCCACAATTTTCAACTTTCGTTTACTTTTAATCTGCCTAAGGAAGTTTTGCTCGTCGAATTTCGAGTATTCAACGAAGAAAGTGTTTAAGGAACTGAAAAATTCAGGTTAGGTAATGGTTAAATTTATTAGATTAGTTGATGTGTACGATGTTGGTGTAGCAGCTTCTAGGTACTTTTACCGCCTGCTGATTGATTCGGATTAACAATTAATTAACTTGTGCTTGTGTTTCATCATGAAACATGAAACTTTCATGTAATATTGGGCATTCCCATTCAATTCACTTATCCTGTCATCTGGCATTCCACTCCATGTGGGGTGCATGGGGCGGATCATGCTCATCTCATCCTATGGCTTTTTTTTATGATCATGCATGATGCATGCTAAACTTTGTCTTGATCATTAAATTAATATTAAATGAGTATCAAATATCATACTGTGCTATTGTGGTGTCTCAGTTGTCAGTTATACATTAACTGAATTGCATCACTGCAAAAGAGCTCCAACTTAAAGTCTTAATCTTTAGGACTGGCCGGGTTTTTCAAATAGAAAGAAAAGAATGTTATTTATTAACTTGGTAATTTCAATATTTCAACTATCTATCTACTACCATTCAATATGTATCTGTTTAGTCACTTAATTTATGCGTAAGGTGGGTATTATTATTATTATGTATGTATATTATTATGTATGTTTATAAGTATTGTTCAACAATCAAAGGAAAATGCAACATTAATTTTATTTATTTGTTGATCGTTATATCAATGGAATGATGTTTGGTATTTAATGTAGCACAATCTTCTTTATAATATATACTTCATTGCACAAAACTTGAGAAATTGGGGATAGTGACATGACTTTTAAAAATAGTGACTAATACATTTAAAAAAACCTGCAGTGCCAGCCAGGCTTCATATAGTTAATTAGGTTTGCAAGCAGAAGTATATTGTTTTTATATTAGTTTTGTCAATGAATCATTTGGAAAATGCAGCTTATACATTTTTTATGTAGTTATATAAAATATCTACACATATACGTACACATGTTTGTGTCTGTGTGTGTGTACATGTATGTGTGTCTTAAATTTATTTCAAACTTTTTATAACTGTTAAGTTATTATTGTTATATAAAAATGTTTACATGTATTTCTCACTCAGTAATTTTAAATTATTTAGTGCATTTTGAAGAAAAGAATAGATGAACATCTTAATTGAATTTCGCGGAGGAGCCGAGCTGATGTTCGACCACATGAAACTGCACAACATCACTTTGCCACTGCCAGATGAGGAACAACCCCCATGGACCATGAAGCTGCTGCTTGACTGGATAAAACTGAACATGATCAGGGAAAATGCCGACCTCTTCATACAGGCAGGAACCATCAAACCTGGCATCTTGGTGCTCATCAATGACGAAGACTGGGAACTTTGTGGACAATTAGATTATGAAATTCAAGACAATGATCAAATAGTTTTTATATCTACGCTACATGGCGGATGATGATTTTTATTCATTAGTATTCTAATTTTTTTTGTGCTTCATTTTATTTTCATTTTTATTTAAAAAAAACACATTAAAGTTATGATATTTATTTAATAGCATTTGCAACAAAATAAACCCCATTTCATGAGATAATGTTAGGAAATAAATATAGAGCAGTCAAATTAATTATCAACAACTCAAGTAAAAACCACCTATGTTAATGAGAGATTGTGCATTCATTGATTAAATTAATCATGTTCTTATTGCGTAACAGTTCTTATCGTCATCCAAACCAAACATGGAACATTCAATTTCAAAGAAATGTCGTCAATTCGAAAGCTTCAACTGCAAATATCAAACAACACACAACGTGCTAAAACAAATGAAAATTTTCAATAAAGTGATACGGCGGCCGCCGGACGATAATTCTGCAGTGATATTCAAGTTTATTTTTTAAATTTTCACCGTTTCGTCAAATGTACAACTCCATAGGCCATAAATTATAAAAGTATTATATGTACAAACGTTTGAATAAATAAATTAGAAACATGTTTTATGGCCCTGAAAACAAAACAAAATTTATATCAATTGGTGTCTGCAGTTGACAGCCCACTAAACAACTTAAGAAGTGCTCATTTAAAAAGTGAAAGAAAATTATTGGTAAATCGTTAATTTGAAAAATGATGGCTATCCGTTTGCTCATACGGACCCCAATGCAATTATTTACATGAACATATAGTCAGTGTAATAAAAATCTTTGCTAATTTTTGTATATGAATACTTGTTCGTTTACAAACATTTTGAAATAAATATTCGTGCAAAAAATCGAGAAGAGCGTTTATAGGTGAATAAAATATATTACAATACGTACATGCTTCCAAGATTATAGTAAAATAAAAAATAGAAATATGCTCTGGAAAAGAAATCCAGCAGCTAACTGAATCCAGGTTTTTCATAAGTTACGCATGCATCATCTTTTTCAAATGTTTAGCAAAATAATAAATCTCGTCATTCAGAAACGTGCCCATACATTATTTACTTAGTAGTATAGTACTAGAATTAACAGACTTTGCATGTGTCATATAACAGAAAAAACATGGCTCCCAAGTGCTGCATCACATTACTACGATGTATACTCGGTACTGTCACATCAAGTGTATGCAATTATACATACACGCGTTTGTTTGTCCTCAAATAGGACGACAGCAACATGACACACATTGGCTTAAAATAATGAAGGATGAAAAATTATGAAAATTCCAAAGGTGATGCACTTTCTATTTGATGAGACATGCACCACCCTGGAGACAAACTACGATCACATTCAGTCTGCTCCTGCTTCTGCTACTGCTGCTGCTGCTGCTACTGCTGCTACAAAACTGCAATTCCTAAATAAATCAATTGCAGAAGTTCCTACTATATGTGCATCATTGTTTAAGAATGATAAAATTAATCCTGCTCTCTCTAATTATTATATATATATACATAATTGTAAATGCAAGCAATTAAAAACCTTATTGAAAATTTTATTATTAAATGTATCTATATAGAACCACATACATTGCAAAATGTACATCTTTCTGTGGTCTGTTTTAAGCATACGCTTTACATTACATGTGCATTACATTTGTGTAAATAATTTTTAAATTTTTACTCACAGAGCTGTTGAATTGATAAATGAGTCACCTTGCACACATACATCTAAAAACACACTGAAATAAATTATTTTAATGACGCACATACACTAGTTATATATCGAAATGATGAATATGCTAAGTGTGTATGCGGTGTGTGTGTATTTGTTTGTTTGGTGTATGCGTGCGTGCGTGCGTGCGTGCGTGTGTGTGTGTGTGTGTGTGCATTGTCATCGTACGTTATACAATTAAATGTACAAAGCATTCACGTGCTACTTTTGAATGCACTGCACAAATATGCAGATGATTATCCTGAATTATTCAAAACCAGAGAAGAAAATAATCAAACAAATTGAAATAATGTTGAAATTATAGACAGACACAGCGCTCGATTGGTTAAATGTTTAAATACTGTGCGCTGATGATATGGCTTATTGAAAGTACTCTATAGATTGATTACAAAAAGTATTTTAAGCAAAGTTTGTAGCAACATTTGTCTATAAAACATCGCCGTGCTGCACAAAATGATTGCAGTATTTTGATCACTGATTCTCGAAAATGTTATTATTTACTGTTAAACGTTTGATAAAAATGTTAAGAGGCACTTTAAATGAAAAATATGCTCAGACAAAGTTTAGTTCATAGGTGCACACACACTCACATCCGTTATCAATTTCTATTTTTAATTTTTCGAAAGGATCAGAACGTGAATCTGCTTATTAATTCACCATTGGCCAGCTTAACAGCATTCATAATGATATGAGAAGACATGAAATTGCATGTTAATTAAGACATAAATCTAATGCTGCCCAATTAATAGATTTAATCTTAACCTTTCATTAATATTTCACAATTTCAACATTAACGAGTGCATCAAAAAATTATTGAATCTAAAACAAATTGAAATAAATTTACAATTAAACAAAAAATATGCTAAAAAAATAAACTTCATTTAACCATTTGAATGTCTCGTCTTACCATTGGGAAATAGTTTACAAGTTTTGTTGTTTATGTGATCTGATAAATCCCTTTGCAAATTAAAAATTTCTATTTTATACCTATCAATGACAGATTGGAGATCTGAATTTTCATCTTTCAACAATTTTACTTTATCTTCTAAATTCGCTATCCTTTCAAGTTTTTTTGTTCTGCATTTCCTGGCCGCATTCCTGTTTTTTTCTCGTCTTCTCGCTAAACGGGCAAGCTCTTTCTCCGACTTATCAGAAAGTGAGTTACTAGGTGAGGCTAACTCAGGTATTGGATTACTAACCGATGTCGATATTTTACTGTTGATGCTGTGTAAATGAGTCGGTAGCAATTTTTTTGTGTTTGTTGGTGAAATGATGGGTGAGGGTGTTGAAAATGATGGCGGAGATGCGATCTGTTGAGGCAGTACATTCTTGTTGCTTTCCTCAGAGGAGAGCTGATTTGTATAACGATGAGGTAGGGTTGATTCAAGTGTCTGTTTTTTCAATTTAATATTTTCGCAGCTAGTGTTCCTAAATGAGGTTGAAAGATTAATAGGAGCTGAACATTGAACGTCACCAGTCTCTGTGTACGGTGAAACTGGAGTTAGAGTCACGATGGATGGAATCGGGGTTGCTGTTGGCCAGAGGTTTGCCATTTTGCGTCTTTGCAATTCAATTAACGCATCAACAAAACCTTTTGCGTAAGCTTCTTGATCACAATAATTTGAGTTGGAGTTCGGTAGATAAACTGGAGTTGGAATCGGTGTTAATGGGACAAATATGCGATCATACTCGGGTGAGGCAAGTTTGATTAAATTACCAGTAAATTCTGGAGACGGTAAAATGTTGGTCGTGCTGACGATTGATGAGTTCGAAACCAACCCTGAACATTCGATATCCTTGAGAATGTGCTCCTTGAAGCCAACTCGAGGAACCTTCCTAGACTGACTGAAGTCCAGACTCAGTTTCTTTCGATCCATTTTTATATTAATTTTAAATATTCAAAACGTTATTAATAAGTATGATGATCAAAATGTTAATTTATCAGTCGATTATTATTTAACACGTTTTCAAAACTTTGACAAACTAATAAGTGGTCATAGCCTTTTTTTTTATTCTCGTTACAAGTCGGCAAGAATATGCGACAATATAATAGGATTAAACAAGTTAACAAATTTATGAACGTAACTGCGAAACGTTGGTGAAGAATTTGAGTACAGATTTAAAGTTCAACATTTAGATGCACTTTATTTAAAGTTACAAGGCAAAAAAACGCGGACGTTTCGCCGAGACACGAGCAGAAATAAAATGACTCACATATCTCAGTCTCTCTACTTCAAATGTATGGGGAAACACTACTCTTCAATAATAAATTCGCACAGTCATCCATTAATACTTGTATTTGTATATATTTATGTGTATATAATATGCATTACATAGTGGGTGTATATACATATACAATTATGAATATATATATATATATATATATATATATATTGAATTAATATATATATATATTATATATATATATGTGTGTGTGTGTTTGTGCGTGTGTGTGTGTGTAATAAATGTTAGTGATTTGTCATGTAAAAACCTATCATCAGTTTATGATTATAAGAGTTGAGTAGATGAAAATCAAGTATCACACACACTTATATATAAAACACATACGTAAGTATATATATATATATATATATATATATATATATATATATTTGTCTGTATGTGTGTGTTTATGTAGTGTAATGTGTGTGTGTGTGTATTGATGCTTGTCCTTATGTGCAATAAAACAGTTTATCATTACGGTTTTCAACGTTCGAATCATCAGCGTTTACCATTAATTTAACCACTGAACTGTAAGCCATCATTTGCATTACTGATGTGATGAGCTGGTATTTGCTCGGTTCGGTTCTTTCTTTGTGTGCATGTGTGTGTACTTCTGTTCATGTTTGCTTGTGAATGATGCTCTGACACCGATATATGTATATTTGTTTGTGTGTTTGTTTAGTTGTGTGTGTGTGATATGTGCATGCAGAGTGTTAACCAGATTAGTCCGTAATTTTACGTGAATAAGTAAGGAAAAAGATGAACGTCAGGACATAACTTTCACAGGACCATTTTCATGGGAGTGTGTACGTGCATGTATCATGCGTTTATATAGCGAGTGTTAATGCGCTTATTAATGCTACTTATTATATTATCATAAAAAAGTATGCTTAGAGTGCCCGCACGCACGCACGTACTCACGCACATTATTCCGTGTGTGTATGGAGGACTAATAAATTTATTTGCGAACGAATAACATCAGCACCACGTAAACAGTTACAAAAACTACGTCGATGTATACAGTGACGTAATCGGCTTTACGCCATTGGTGCATCAAGATGCAAGTAGGTTATGACGTCAGAAGAGTAATTTCTGATTGGTCGAATGCAGGTCACAGCTGTTTTTAAAATGTTAGTCATTATGCAGTAACATCTCAACATCATATATTGCACGCATAACTATTGTTTTTTCGTTTTGTTCGCCTGTTTTTCTGATCGATCTGTTGTCGTCGTCGTTGCTTTGATGCGTTGTTGTTGCGTTGTTGTTGCGTTGTTGTTGCGTTGTTGTTGTTTTGTTGTTGTTTTTTTGTTGTTGTTACATTGTTTTTGTTGTGTTGTTGTTTTTGTTGTGTTGTTGTTGTTGTGTTGTTGTTGTGTTGTTGTTGTGTTGTTGTTGTGTTGTTGTTGTGCTGTTGCGTTGTTGTTGTTGCATTGTTGTTGTTTGTTGTTGTGTTGTTTCTATGTAAGATTATTTACCTAGATGTCGCGAGTTACTTTCAACTTAATTCTTAGCAAAGTTGTAATTGGTGATGATGTAGTCGGCTGCAGTAATTTGTTAAGTAGCACAGCGCACTCTTGATAACGCAATGAAATCCTCAAAATTTAAACTCGTCTTTTAACCAGAATAAATAATACTGCACACATGTTTGTTCATCTCTGACTATCTGGTCTGACGAAGCCAATCACATCCGAGTACGTGCAAAACGGTCTGATGAAACTTCTCATTCACATCAACTATATTCGCACCGCAGTAAACAAGGTTTATAGTTCAAAATTCAACACTATTTTTATTTAAAAATGTTCTTTTTTTAATATTAAACAACAACAACAACTTATTCTATATAAAAGTTGACCATGCAATTGTACGAACTGGAAAAATGAAATTTTGTTTCAGGTTTTTCAGAAATTTGGTTTTATAAGCAAAATTGTTCAATAATTTTGCAGCCTCACGCCAAACTTCGTCTAAAAATTACATTGGATTCTGCAAAAAATAAATTTCAAAATTTCTATCTGACTTATTTGACAAGCTCACCGACATGCAGGCTACTTGTGCTAAAAAAGTGGCTAAGAGGTGTCGGTACTTGAAATGTTCACTCAAAACTTCTTTTCAACCTACCCATCCGCACCAACGTTGTTAAATAAAAAATACAAGTTAAGTGTTTGATAATTTCAAATCAACCTCCTTATCCACTTCCAAATACATTAATATCAAATGGTTTTTTTTTCTCAGAAGTTTTGATAAAAGATGTGATAAGGTTTTTTAATTATTACGTTACGAACAAAAACGAAAATTGATGAAAAATTCAATCAACAAATAACGAGCTTCTACACCAGTTGGCACGCACATGTAAGAAGAGCAGCGCTACTATTTCGATCCTCCCTCTACTAATGGTAATTTATGTTATCATAACGTTTCATTGCTAAAAATATAATGACTGACTGCATCTTGTTTCGAAGCAACAACAAAAAAGCATTCAATTTTTTTTAATCAGGAAATTATTTATAGATATAATTTTGGAAAATCTCGCTGGAGATATGGTTGAAGATTGGAGCTAAAAATAAACAGAGTAAAAGAAGGGATAACAAATGGAAGAGCATGTACGTTGCATACTACACCGACGTAATTGCATACATGTGAATGTGTACGTTGTATGCAATGCTTATACACAAACATAGCATACAAACCAAACCAACACGTGTACTTGTACATATTGAATAATAATAATATGCATATATTTATTACATAAATACATAATTGAAAAAAATAAAAATATATTCATTCACGTGTGTATACAGATGTACACAGATTATGTAATTATATTATATATAATTCATATGCATGTGAAACTAAATCACTCACGTACTTGGTACATTTATGCACGCACGTACGCACACAAACACACACACGCATGCATAAACACACATACATACGCACAAAAAAGAGCATGTTATTTTTTCTTAGGTATCTATCTACGTTGCGTGGTATCTTGCAGTTTATTGGTTGTACGCGCAACTTACAAACATTCATTTTTCACTTGCGAACGTATTTGCCGTTTTGTGGAGCAACATTTTACGGAGCTATTTCAGGAATTCAAGAATCAGTTGTTAGTCGTGTATTGCAAAATATTAGTGATAATGTATTAGGAAGTGTGGGTGCCAGTTTATCTCTATAACACCACAAAATATATTATATGTGCATGTACGTGTGTCGGTGTGTGTTTGCATATTAAATATCCTCCTGTGTATCTCTGTCTCTGTATGTGTGTGCGTGCGTGTGTGTATATTAGTTTTTGAACATTTGTATTCATGTGTGCGTATGTACGAGTAAGAGCCGGCTTGTAAGTTTGAGCAAATATTTCGCATGTGTAGAACACCAAGTCAAGCAAGACGCACATAAACAAACTTTTACCCGAAACTCTCATGAATGTATAAATAATAAAAAATGTGTTAGAGCTGGCATTTGCATCAAATTTGTGAACATTCGTTAATAATTTAAGGTTTAAGTGTGAGCGTGTTTGTAAAGATTTGCAGTTGAACGTAGATCAGCAAATTAGTTCTCATTTCGATTGTTTGTTCCATCAAAAAATTTTATTTTATAAATTTTATTTTCGCTATTTGGCGAGATAAGCCCTTTTATTGTTAATCAATAACCAATCGTTGCAAACATGCAAACATCCCAATTAACTTCAATTTTCTATGGACAATGGAAGGCCATAATGTAATATAAATTTTCATAACAAATATCAAGCCGCCCGGATGTATTTGCATACGCATGGTTGCCAGCATTTAGCTTGAAACGTTGCGTACCAAATTCTAAGAAATAGACATATCCACAACTGAAAACTCAGTTTCATCATTGTTTTTCCAAATTGCAAGTTACAATAAATGACGGATCATGAAGCAGCGATGTATTTGCATTTATTTTATACATTTGATGATGAGTTGTATTACTACATATAACCTATTCGATTACGTACGTCGCTGATTACAAATAGTCTCATTTGATGTGTAAACGCTAGTAAGAAGATAAGTCATCGCCGTAACAATAATAGCATCACAGAATATATGCAACTGGTTGGATTCCAAATTCAATGGTGGGTCGCTTATAGAAATATGTCTAATATTTACATTGAAAACTTTATAAGCCCTCTTTGTTTTTACAAAAGGGAGTGATTCAATTAACTTTTATTTATTCTTTTATCTGAGGCACAACAACACGTTAACTGTGTGAACAAGAGCCCGTGAAAGCTTACTCAGCAACCCAGATTGTTGGGTGGTCATTGCTATTCAGTAAGTAAACATCTTCCTGATTGGCTGTATGCATGCATGCATGAGATCTATATGTACGTCTAGATGTATGTGTTTATGTGTATATATCTATGTATGTACGCATACTTGTGTTTACGTTCATATGTTTGTGTATGTGTTGTTGTTTCGTTATTGTTTTGGTTATATAATTTGTTGTTACTTTTTGATAACAACGCTTTGTTATATATAATATCTTGATGGATTGGTTCCGTGATGCTGCTTTCGGGTCGATGTAATTTAGTTTAGTTGAGGTTTCTGTCTACATCCTGCCAATGATGTTGATGTTTCTGTTTATATCTTGCCGATGATGTTGATGTTTCTGTTCATATCTTGCCGATGTTGATAAACTCCATCGTTCAAATTCCAATCCAGAAAATATGCTATCAATTATTACGAAACCTTGAGTCAAACTTGCGTTTACAATTCTAAGTGTAGAATTTTTCATACAAAAATTTGCAGAATTTTTCGCCCCACAAACGGAGCACATTCATCAACGCGAGATTTGTATTTGCATCTAAACATATCTAACAAACATATTTAACATAACTTTTTGATGAAACTGTGAAGCGTTCGACGATTCAAAACTCACTTAACTTCAAAAACTTGACTTAATGTGCACACCACTCAGTGTTTTAATACAATCTTCATGTTTTCGTAGTAAATTTCTTAAATTTTTCAAGCAAGTTCATAGTCAAAAATATAACCAATAAATCAATTTATTTAATTTTTATGATTCTTTCGCATCCATCTCATCCACATTCAAGGCGTCAATGAGTTATCTTCTGCAAAAAAACACTTCTCAAACATCGGTGAATGAACACGCACGTGCATCTCTAGCGTACCGTGCGTGCAGGCGTTTGCATTAATAGACAGGCCAGACACAAGACTGGGCTGGTGTTTCCAGTTTCCAGTTGTCCGTGGTTAGAATGGAAGGAAATTAGAGAGTCTGATCTGATAGTTAATGATGAACAACGCCGTTATCAAACATCTTTTCACTGATGTTATCATATGAAACTATATTAAGCAAGAGTGTTTTTTTATGGTTGTAATTATTCTTGAAAAGTTTTCAACTTCAATCAATTTTCTGTTTATTTATATCTGTCGTACTAGCACATGCACACCATCTAATACGTCTTGATTTGTTATCAAAAGCTCTCAAACAAAATAATTTCACTGAATTCGTGCATATTAAACAAATTCAATCACACAACACATAAACTATTACATAAATTAACTCATGAACCTGAAAATTTTAAGCAGTTTTAAAGATACGAGATATGAACTTATTGGCAACAAATAAGCAAACAGAAAGAATCACATAACATTTCTAGCACTCTGTCAATTTTACTTGTTTCATTTTGCCAGCCATTGTACTGTAATGTTTCATAACATAGCATAATGGTGATACGTTCCACCACACTAGCTGTTTCAAGCTTTAGCAACTCATGCAGCTGTGTTTAGACCAATTTAGTAGGGTGATATAAAAATGTTTGCCATACTAATGTTAATTAACAACTGCTCGCCTGCAACTGCAAGATGCCCGGTATCAACGGATTATATGGAGTCAATATAATTTCTAAAATAGCCATTAAAAACGTGGACTGACAGACTACTGTTATGGTTTAACTAAAATCTTATGTTTTTAATCATAATATCCATATATATTAATTGCACCTGTATGAAGAAGAAAGAGCTGACCAATTTTTATATGAAATGAGTTTATTTGGATCTGCATTTTCCAACTTGGGTTTCAACGTTCTCGCTTTTGAGTTTCATTGATTTGAGGTGATGGAGTTTGTTAAATGAGTTATTGTGAAATTATTAAAAAATATCATAACTTTGTTAACGAAATTAGAATGTCACTGAACCAATTTAATTACCAAATTGTATAGTTCCAATACATATATCGTGATTTCGATCATTCGCTTGAAAGCCAGCAGATCTTAAATGACAATGGACATTTAGACAATCTACACTTACAAAAGAAATGCGCTAAAGTAATCCGCTAAAATAAACATTTTCTTGTAAACCAACTTAACGATCGTTTCATAAGTTTCCTGATAATCACGTGACTCCGAACACTCAACAACATTGTCACGATTGTTAATCATCGCTAATGGATTCGTTATAATGTCGACGATGATGAAGATGAGGATGATGATGGCGGCGTTGAAGTTATTTTTGAAAATTATCGTTGCCGGTGAGTAGTGAACTAAATTTAGAAAATGATTTCGTTGAGTTGACAGAGATTGAGATATCGTTTAAATTTAAACTGAGTTGTTTCTTTTGTTTTGTTGGTGGTTGGGTGGGTGCTTCTTTCTGTCTTCTGTTTGCCTCTCTTTGTCTTCTTTGTTAGTGTTACACTTTCTCATGTTAGGCTGTGTTGAGTGTCATATAATGTTGTGTGTTGTGTTGTGTTATATTGTGTTTTGCTATGTTGTGTGTTGTTGTGTTGTGTCATATAATTGTGTGTATTGTGTAATATAATGATGTTTATTCTGTCATAATGTTCGATAAAATGGTTGCGGATTATCAATAATACTTTATGAAAGCCATCGTCACCTTTACAAACAATTACAACAACTCTTCATACAACTCTCAGTCCGTAATGATGTCAAGTATGCAATTGAAGTAACGATAACAGATTAATCTTAAATTGATCTTCAATACATTTGATAAATATAAAGTAAAGACCTCGTAACTCATTCATACACACTCAATACACAAAGACACGTGAGTTATGCATTCAGAGAAATACCAACAAATACCCAAAAATACCAACAAATATACATAAAATCATTAAAAATTCTTTATGCCAAAGAAATCGAAATGTTAAGAATTGGTTAATTTAGTCAGTGATGACACATAACATTTTAATGTAAACGAGTGAATGTGCTGCTTTGTTGATCACAATTTATGTTATTACAGTTAATTATTATTATTAGTGTCTGATGCATGGCTTAGCTGTATATTTATAAAAAAATATACACACACACACAACACACTCATCCCATGTATAAATATATATGTGTATGTGTATTTATATATAAATGTGTGTGTAGATGTGTGTGTATATATATGTGTGTGTGTTTGTATGTTTGTGTGTGTATGTGTGTGTGCGCGCGCGCGCTTGTGTGTTTAAGAATTTAATTACATTGTTTTAACGAATTAAGTTATATAGTTAGGTTGAAGATACAAATACCATCAGTTGAAATTAATTAATTTACATTTCATATACGGTCATCGGCGCTTTCGTTATAATATCTATTATTATATGTAATAATAATAATTTAATAACATTAATAATAATAATAATTATTATTATTTAAAAATAGTTCCTTCGTTAGTAACGCATAACGATGAGTAATCAATAGTCTTACTTGGGTCTCCCCAATAGAAAAATAGACTGGTTTGGTGAATGGTAAATACGCAAATGCATGTATGTATGTATGTGTCCATGCATGTATGCATGCATGCATGCATGCATGTATGTATGTATGTATGTATGTATGTATGTATGTATGTATGTATGTATGTATGTATGTATGTATGTATGTATGTATGTATGTATGTATGTATGTATGTATGTATGTATGTATGTATGTATGTATGTATGTATGTATGTATGTATGTATGTATGTTAAAACAAAACATGATGAGTGATACTGAACCGTCAAACATCAAGTAACAAATGGATTAACACTTTGATTTGTCGTTAATTGCACATGTCAGACACGCAGGAACCGCTGCAACAAGCACGAAATGTGGTTAGTTGCGAAAAACAGTTCCCTGCTGTCGCCTGATCTGACGCTGATCATTTTGCATATTGCTTCAAGAAATTTAAGGGTGTTGGGGTCCATCGGGCCGAGAACCTCGATACATATTGAGAAGAATTCCATCGAGGGGAGGGCGTTCCCATATTTTTTCATTTTGGATGCGGTTTTGCCCGCTGCCCTGGCAGCGGCAACCGCATTCAAAACTCTGGGTATTCCAGCTAGCGCATGTGGTACCTGAAATAAACTAATCCCGACACCCAACTGAGTTAGGTAGAATTTGGTCTTGAGTTCGACCACGACCAGGGCCAAGGTGCATTTGCCGGCCAACCTCCTCCAAACATTCCTTACCGCAATTGTTCTGACCCCTCCGTCTTTCTTATTTAAAGCTTTTATGTATGTATGTATGTATGTATGTATGTATGTATGTATGTATGTATGTATGTATTTATATATGTAATAAATGTATGTATGGATGTATATGTATGTACATATGTATGTGTCAATGTTTGAATCCTTACACTTTGATAATATCTTGAAAGATATCATCGAGTGTGTACAACTAACTAAGTACCCCAGCAATTAATTGTTATGTGTTTTAACATGTGCATGTGCCGTTATGTGCATGTGCTGTGCATGTGTGTAGGTATGTGTTTGTGTGTGAGATGAATATATGTCTGCGTGTGTGTGTGTTTGCGTGTGTGTGCGTGTGCGTGAGAACGAGTGATGAGTGTGTATGAATGTGTGTACAGTACTGCAACATCAAGAGAGAGCCTGCGACAATTTTCATTTATTTTATGCACTATATAGTAATTATTATATTATAACAATTACAGTAAAGTGAAAGTAAAAGAGCCTAGCTCGTACAACGATAACGTTTTATTAGCGTTGTAGCAGCAGTGTTAATCACGTTGATTATATAAGTATTGTTATTTAGTGGGACCGTGATATAAGCAGTCTCTTCAACTGTGATGTTGAATAGATTAAAAGCTTAACTTAAAAAGTGCTTGAATATTGAAAGTTAAAAACCTAAGACGAGTTCTAGTGAAATAAAAAATCGCTACGCAAACTTAAAATGTTGATAAAAAAAATACTAATACTGTCAATAATGATTTCATCCACCAATATTAAATATTTTGCAAAAACTATGTAAAAATTTTACTCAAAAACTTTCATTTTCACCAATGAAGCTTCTGTTGACAATTTGACTGCCAGCATAGTATATAAATAATAAGAGTAGGTACTTATTATTACGTAAGAACTTAAGATAAATTTATTAGCATCTACTGCAGCTACTTATGAAGACACAGCTTGATTGCGAACATTTCAATTTGATGTAGAATATGAAGCACGAAACGGTGCAAGTGCTGATTTAGTTAACTTAACGGACTATTAGAAATTAGTGTTGTAGCCAAAAATCAGCATTGGGTCTGAAATGTCATCGACTCGTTGAAATATGCAAAGAAGTTTTTAAGTACTTCTAAATAATTAGAGTTATATAATAATTTATCAATGAGATTTATATGTTCTTCTCATAGCAATGTTCAATTAAATAAATAAATAAGAAAAAGAATGAATGAATGAATGAACGAACGAACGAACGAATGAATGAATAAACGATTGAATGAATATAATCGGATGAACAAACGGATGACTAATACTGAATGCAGAGTAAACAATTTTTTCTAAACCCACGAAACCGAAAGCATAAAATTAAGTAGACGATTGATTATAAATAATTATCTTATTTTAGTTAAATAATTATCTTATAATAATAAATAATTAATTCACGAAATACAGAAGAGAAAAATCACATTTAGCAGATCGCCTAAAAAAGATTCTGAACTAGAATTCAATGCTCTGATGAAAACTGAGAGTAATTTTAAAGAGGGAAAAAATGTCAAGTATATGTACGTACGGCGGACATTCAGATGATTGCCACTTGTTCATTGTCACTTGTTATACATTGTGGCTACACATCAAATTTGATACAATTTGATACAATTAGTCAATTTGATAGATGTTATTAATAATAATTATTTAACATAATCAGTACGTAGTATAGGTACGTAGTAGATGACGTTAATTACGTTTCAGAAGCTCAACAATCCTTTACATATCAACTTCGACCGATTTTTCATTCTTACTTATCCTCTTACTCTCTTGTGTTGTAACGTCTGACATTTAGAAACCAACCACCAAACTAAATTTTTTGTACTTGCAACGATGTTGATGGCACTTTTTTTTCGATATTCACCTAGATAAAAAACCTTTCACAGTTTAATTCGGTTTGGTTGATCAGCCAGTCTGCCTGCTTAACGAACGAGTTCATTTGCCGCAAGAATGATTGTTTGAATGGCGCGATGAATTTTAACAACAACATTAGATTTCGTTAATTCGCTAATGTTCATATAAACAATGCAATAAGATTCTCATTTTTAACCGCTGAACTTTCGAATGAACAATATTCAAATGGAATTTATATTGCCTAAATTTGATGATTTGAGAAAATTGGGATGGGATTGGGATGGGATCCCATTCTCAAATCATCCCAATTTTTCAAATTTGGATGATTTGAGAAAATTGAAAAGTAGAAATTATTATTATGATGAATGTAACATACATTGGAAATCGTTCACGCATATACATGAAACGATTTCAGACATAACGAAACTTTGTGTACGGATTAAACGCACTTGAAATCTTCTTTATCGAATACTCTGCTCACACACACGCACGCACACACGCAAAAAAACACACATAGCTCAGCTCACAAATATGCAAACATGATTAAGAGAGAAATGTTTGATTTAATGAATTTTTACTTTCTGATGTATTGAATTTTCGAAAAGATTAAAAAATATAACGAAATATTTAAATTTTTAAATTCATGCACACGAAGATTGAGATTTGGCGTCGAAATACTGGTTTCGCTCGTAATATAACCAACACACTGCCAAAGAACAATGATTCATTCATAACATTTTTTCACATTTCGAAAGAGTTTTCTGTTTATTCAAAAAGTTTACATCAACTGCTAAGAAATGAATGCAAACATACATCCAAGTACCCATTACCTATTTCATTTTATTCACATTCAGCGCCATTTCGGCTCGGCAATTTCTGATAAATCAGTTCATATAAATAAATAATAAAATAAATGAATAATAATGAATAAATAAAAAAAATATTAGTAATAAATGACAATAATATCGATAAAAATGAACGTTAAAAATGAATAAATGATGACTCGTGAGTTTTTATAAATAAACCAAACAAAGAAACATACATATAACTAAACATAGGAATTATGTATATATATATACTACATACTATATATATACTATATATTTATATTTATATATATATAGTAAGTTGAACAGTCTGACCATCAACAGAAAAAAAAAATCAATAGAATAGAATGATGATGCATAATAAAATTTTGCGACGCATAACTCAATGTACCACCATTCAATCATTTTTAGTTCTTACCATGTTTATCTAACTGATTCAACCACTTCTACATAGATTGTTATCAATGTTGTTGCTGTTGCGGTTGTTGGTTGTAGTATAGATATAGATAGGCACTGTATTATAAATATGAAAAAACCAATTAGCCTTTCTGCTAATGTTTTTGTATGGTTTATTCTAGAGAAACCTAATTTTAAACTCGCAAAATTATCTCTAGACAACACGTGCAATCAAGTTGTATGCATGCATGCATGCATATGTGTGTGGGTATGTACGTATATGTTTATATGTTTTTGTATATGTTATGATAGCAATTATTATTCAGCATGGCAATTATATTAATCAGCAGCAAAATTTCACAACTTCTGTGTCATCGTAACTTGCAGGCATTCGCATTCTAATGCACAACAACAGTATCATAATTACTGAACTTGTGAATGTACAATTCTTATTGTTCGTGATGTAGACAGGCGATACCACTATTAGACAATAATTATTATTGTTATTATTATTGTTATTATTATTGTTATTATTATTGTTATTTGCTCTTAGTTAACTAATCCTCATCATGCCTACGTACGTACATAACATAGAACACGTGAGTAATGCAATGCAATTAAATGCATGGGTGCGTAGGTGAAATAATAATAATAATAATAACAACAACAACAACAACAACAACAACAATAATAATAATAATAATAATAATAATAAAGCATTTATCTGCTGCATGCTAGTATTAAACAAATACACAAGTGTATGTGTGTGTGTATTTCTTGTAAATCTACCATAAACTATCAGGAGCATCTTTCGATGGTGCGGTTTATCATCATGAGAGTTTCTTGCGGTGAGATTGTGTTGAGATCATGTGATTAATAATAATGCACAACAAATTTGTGAGAAATTATAAGCATCCTAGTTGTTCTAGAACATGAGCGTATTATTGTTTATTGATGATTCTGAATCTATTTTAGAATGTTTTAAAATATTATTATCGCTCTGCAAAACCACTAGATAGAAAGTTTTTACAAATGTAAAAATATCACTAACAAATGAGAAGATTAATTGATATAGGTAAAAGATCGTGCAGACATGCAGCTATAATTAGTAAGACGATAGCATGCATGCATCGAGGCAGATAGGCAGTCAGAATTCACGATTGGAGCGATCAGGTTTGCTCAATAGCACGCCGCTCGTGTTTACCTCTGTCGATCTGATCGCTCTTTCAAATGAATGAATGAATGCATACCTGTGAGACAGGTACTGAATCATTCGATTGTTTCTCTAAAATTATGAAAACTATTCGCGCTCATGCAAGTCGTCATCGTTTTGTTAGGCCACGAACATTAAAATGCTTCGTAACTACATTGTTTATTCACAGTGTGTGTGTATGTGTGCTTGTTGTATTGTGTGTGTGTGTGTGTATGTGTGCTTGTTGTATTGTGTGTGTGTGTATGTGTGCTTGTTGTATTGTGTGTGTGTGTGTGTGTGTAGTGCGGACTGCATACAGCAGCACTGAGTAACACTATCAGGCATGTATTACTAATCGCTCGTTGATAATAAAATTTCGAATGTGAATTGAAGGCAGTAAACTTTATTAAATTCCTCGCCATTTCGTCATAATGGACTTGTATGGTTGAAGTGACAACTGCTAAAGAATGATGTAATATGCATTTTTAATTTACTAATTTACACACTTTTTTCATAAATGTAATAAGTAGTTTACATTTTTATATTTTTAAAATTGTGTAAAAAGTTCTTTATGTAAAAAAAATCAAAACATTTTTTGAAGTTATGGGTAAATCACAAGTACATAAGACAGACTCATGTTCAAATTGTTATGTGAAATTCAGGCAATGATATTTATTGAATCAATTAGGCTAATCATAAATTCTTGAGTTAAACAATTCAACGAACTTTAAACGTCTGCGACTTACAGAAAATAACAAGCCACAACACATTTCAGAAACACTTTAAAAAATTTTTAGATTAGGTAATCAAACTTACATAACAATCAAAACTTAAGATAAATTATAGTGAAAATTTTAGTTCGAATTTTAAAAGGTTAATATGAAAGAGGTAAAGCAAATAAGAAAATTTAATGTCAAACTTTTTAGATTACAGCTATAAAAACAATTTAGTTCTGTTTAATAAAATTTAAATTTAAATTGTGAACAGCGAACATCCTTAAAGTAAACAAAAGTTATGTTTTTGAAGTGAAGTGACAGCCCATGTTAAATGAACTAGAATTAACGAGAAGAGATGCAAAGTGAAAACCATTGAGATGGGTGAGATCATTCAAACATACATTCAAACTTAATTTATCTGTTAAAAGCTACTCTTGCTTATTTCGATTTATTTTGCGGCGTTTCTTTTAAGAGCAAACCCTGTTTGACTGTTTGTTTGTCCAGACCCAAACACTACACATAGGTAATGTATGATTTGCCACCATATGGTTTTGCTATTTTGTCATATAATTTGTCATATCAGTCACTTCGATGTCATAAGAACGATGAATGACTGAAAATATCCAAAAAATCGTTTTGTTAATCTAAGAGCAAGAAGAGCACAACGAACTTCTGACAATGCTACTGTTCATTTATAACGTGATTTAAACAAAACAAATCAAAATTAATGTTTTGATAGTGGAGTGATACTTAGATTCACATAATTGTTATTATAATTTTATACTGATATTATCCTATCGTATTCTTCCTAATCTAAACTTTACCTTGAAGCAAGAGCGGGGTTGACGTCATACATCCTTCATAACTGAAGCAGGAAATTTCAAGCTACTAAGATCCTCAACAGCTTAAAAATATCATGACACAAACATTTCCACGTCAATGTTTAGAGCAAGCGGTATTATTCAATTCCTATATATGATTCAATGTTGTTCAGTCTAAAGTGTTTGCGTTATTATACGAGCTACCCTATGATCAATGTTCACCTGTCAGTTTGAGGTCTCCGCTTTAAAATGCGGTCGATGTCAACTGTGATCTTGCACCTCTATTTATTCCAGCATTCCAACTAAAAAAATCTAAACTTTGTTTTCTGCCTCCTCCCGGCCGAGAAAAGCAAAGAAACAAAAAAAGCTGCCTAGGTGTTTGCGGGATGAGCTTCAGTCTCATATTTGCGGGCAGGCTGAATAAGGCAATTTCCCGGTAAACGCACGCATTACATTTTAAAATTGGTTAAAAAACCTTACACAGGAACAGTCGATCAGGAAAATGCAGTTATTTCACGTGTTATTTAATAAATTATCAATTTGCAGAATAGGGTATCCAACACTTTTGCATAATGCTATCGAGTAAACTAGAACTTGATACAATCATTTGAAAGCATAGTATTTTATACTGATACCTATAGTAGTCTTCCCTTTATAAGCTTTTCCTGAAGCAGCATTATGCCACACACCTATCATTCGTCAAACAATCGTTTTGTCGGGCCACAGACATTAACAATTGACACACTCGGTACAGATCAACTATCTATCGCATGCTGCTTAGTGTGACGTGACGGAAACGGCCCTTTCTTCGAATTGTCGAACACGGCAAAGCCGATATGAGCAATCGTGTGACTGTAGCAGCTAGAAACCAATTGGCCTCATCAAGAAGCTCTGTCAAGCCCTGCCTTCGCAAAACCAATTTTGAGTCACCAATTATGAGACATGGAGTAATAAATGATACACTACACCTAGCCATAGTGTACAATTTAAATTTACATAGAACCAAGAAATTCAGTTTATCTGAATCGCAAAACATAAAACACGTGAAAATTATTAAAATAATTTATTATCAAATAAATAATTTGAATTGTTGATAATGTTCTGCTGATAGCTGTAGATCCATTTAGTCAAACAATCCTGTAGGTATAATGAAACAATTTGTTAAATAGATGAATATTTCAAAACAAGTTCAATAAGACACTTATAAACGACCCTTAGGACCTGCCACTTTTGTTTGTATTAAAATTCTTTCTATCACAACAATTCTCACTCATTTAGATAATAATTGGAGCTTGCCCAAAAGGACCTGTCAGATAAGTACTTAACTTGCACATTTTAAATATTATTAAGTACTTATTTTGGAATATTGATTTAATTAAATTTCCTTTAATGTTCAAAATTGTCATCAGCCATTTACTAAGCTCCTACCAAAGAATGATGTGAATCTCTACCATTTGTCAAAGTGTTTCATAAATGTTTTAATAACCAGTTTAAATGTGCAGGGTAAAGAGATTGTGCTGCTAGATTTACACATCTATATCTTCGTTTAAATTATGTTATCAAAAATAAAACATAGAAACACATTTTATTAAAAAGTAAAACATAAAAACCTAGTAAAAAGAAGATGCTCGGTTGAATAATAATTGAAAACTGCAGAAAAAGTATTAATCGAACTCAGAGAGCAATTGATGAAAAAAACTATGAACCCAGTAATTAAATAATTTAAAGCCGTCCAAAGTCATGTAACTACTGTAACCTTACTCAACGCACAAAAGTGCATCATGACATATTGTTATTACTATTATTATTATTAAGTTAGAAAAAAAATATCAGAACCAACCAAATCCCATGTCTCCATCATCTTCATCTGATTCTTCCTTCTTCTCCTCCTTCTCTTCCTTCTTCTCAACAGGTGCAGCAGCAGTAGTAGCAGCAGTTGTGGCAGCCACTGATGGGGCAGCAGGTGCAGCACTACCAGCTGATTTCACAAGATCCTTGATGTTAACAGTTTTCAGAGCACTGGCAAATAGTGCTAAACGATGTGGAGGCAGTTATAATAAATGTAATTTCTTATCAAATTTCTTTTGTACTCTATAAAGTTATGAATAGATGTAACTTCAACATATATAATTGGTGCATATATGAGATCATGTGAGTAAAGTAACTTTGCAAAAATGTAACAAAGGTAAGAAATCCAAAAAAATTTCAAAACTCATAAAAAATATTTAGCTGTAAACATTTGAACATGGCTATCATGGTCAAATGCTGTGCTTTGGATGGACAAAATAAAATGATTAGCAGCAAACAAATAGAAATCATTCATCGATTTAAAAAAATATCTAACTTGGCCAAAGAGAGTCGACTGTGACATTGGCAGCTTTGAGTAGTTTCGTAATATGATCAGGCTTTATAATAAAAATTATAATTATTTTTAAATTAATGATTTATGAGCGAAAAAAATAATTTGGCAAGTTGCAAATATAAAAACAAAAGTTTTATATAAAAATATAGTTAACATATATAAATAAATTTCACAATATTTAAAGAATAAGATAAGATCCTACAGCTGGATTGATAAGATCGAGAACTGCACACAAAATTATTCAGGAAATTTATAAAAGTTTAGACATGATGAGAGGCAAAACACATCCATCAACAAAACCAAAAACATTTTATTAAATAGGCTTCAGGTATCTCAAGTCTGAAGTAAATGGGCACCAGAGACAAATGAATTGTAGCCATAGAAAAATTGAAAAGAATTAAAAAAAAATTTAAAAAAAAAAAAAAAAATTTGTTACACACATTTGTTAACATTAACACAGAATAAATTAATAAAAATGTAAAAGTAGAATGAGAAATGGAAAGCTAAAGAAAGAATAATATAAAAAGGTTGAAAAATTGTTATAGAAGACAATCAATCAATTAATCTTCGTTTAGCTTCCAGAGATCCAGTTCCCCGAGGTAGGACATATAGAAGACAATACCAAGAGATGGAAAATGTTTCAAAGAATTTGGAGAACTTTTAACTAAGATCAAGTAGAAAGTCTGACAAATTTTTATAAGGTTCCAGTCAATACTAAGGTCATTATGTTTGATTCAGTTAATTAGGCATTTCATTTTGTATTGCAATAAAGAATTAATTAAATGAAATAGGACTAATGTATCAACAATAATAATAGTATGAACATTATATGGCGCCAATTCGCACAGCTGCTTCAGAGGTGCCTAGAATCGGTGTTGAAAAGATAAGACTTCAGAATTAGATGTTTTTAAAAACACTCAACAAGGAACATAATCTCAACTTGAGAGGTGACTCAATTCTGGGTATATGGAGCTCAGGACGAAAATTACGGTTATCCCGATAGGATTTGGCAATAGGAGTGTTTAAGGAACTCTTCTTAGAGCAGAACGATCTGACCTGTTCGTGGATAGAAACGATATCATAAAGGTAACCTGGGAATTTCAGGGATAATATTTTGAAGGAAAGGACTACAGTTTTGAAAATGTAAAGATAAATGAAGGTAAGCTATCTGTCATTTATCTACAACTTCTGAAAAAAAAACTCTGTTCATCATGGGATCAGTACCAGATTTTCCTACTTTTATTTTAATCTCATATTTTTACCAAAAATTAAATATTATAATTATGATTATCATGTTGTTACTATCTGTTTTTTGTGGTTCTGAGATAAGTGAATCTACTAATCTAATTTGATGAAATACCAAAATGGACAACTGCAGTCCATAACTTTAGCTTAAAATTTTTGTAAATTTAGGTTTATCTATCTATTTTTATTAAATTTATTTATTTATATTTGTGTATTAAATTTAAGAAAATATGAAACCTTAAAGAGAAAACCATGAACTCCCGCAATTTTTAATATTTTTATTTGTTCAACGTACTCGCTACTCAAAAAGTTTTAATTAAACGATAATGGCCGATTTGACTTGACTAAAAAAGGAAAAGGTTTGATTTCAGACAACACAGCAGCACGTGTTAGGATTGCAAATAAAAAAACTCACCGAAACATCAACTCCGCCATCGGCCAGGATGAGTGCCGAATATGCACAAGCTAACTCGTTCACATTAACCATTTTAGATTATTTCAAAAGAGAACGCCTCAAATGATCGAACGCCAACAGTCTTACGTCTTTTATTGACTAACAAAGATCAAAAAGGAAGTTTAGATCTTTCACATTACGTAAACAAGAAGAAAAACCCAAATATTGTTAAGAACTGAAGCTGTATAATTTAGGTTGAATATATATATATAAATCTTAATAAATATTGTATTATAAAAATAATAAAATTTATATATAAATAAAATATTAATAATGTTTAACACGGGAATAATAAAATGAAATACAGTAAAAATTATAATAACAACATTGAACTGGAATTCGTTATGGAGAAATTGTCTAGCTAGAAAAAATGAATGAGAAAGTTTAAAAACCACTAGAATTCGCAAGAATATAAAAATATATTTAACAAACACACAAAAACCAAAAAGCAAAATTGGGCATGGGCATATATATAAAATATAACATTATTATATATTATTATATTTATATTATTATATTATTATTATCACATATAACATCGTATATATTCTATATATATGGACACGGGTTTTGATCACCAGTTTGAAAAAGTATGAGCATGAACATGATTTGGTGTTTATGTTTATAGCACATAAAAAATGGTTAATAACTGTCTCACAGTGCAGAGCTTTTCCAAGAGCAGATATATAAGATTAAATCAATGACTTGTTTTGTTCAATGAAATGATGAAGATAAAAAATAAAGAGAAATGAAAAAACAAATTTGGACGGTTAAGTACAACGCTGAATAAAAGGAAAATTTGGAATAATTAAAAGGGAGATGGAAACTAAATTAGCTACCCCTTGAAACTTGGAGGGAAAAGTGAACAATCTGGAAGCAGCGAATAAAAACTGTAACAACAAACAAAGTAGTATTAAAAAAACGGTGGAGGATAGCCTTCGGAATATGGAAACTTTTATCGAAAAAAATTTTGTCCAAAAATAGAGAATGACAAAATCGAATCAAACAAAAGAAGTTGTTGACAAGAAAAGATGGAAAACCTTGCAATAAGCAATCACATATTTTAGTTTCACGGATGTAAATTTTTTTTAAAAAGGTTTGCCGATTCTGTTTATTTAATGAACGATAATCCATTGAAAAATCATTAATTTTATAAAACATTGATTTGACAATTCTTAGCTTTGTTTCTAGTTTTTACAGAAACAATGGTCCAAAATTTAGATTTTTTTAATTTCTGACAAGGCAACCTCTTGTTCAATATTTTTGTTAAAGAAAATGTTGAATGGTGCAAAGCAAAACAAAACTTATGATTCAATTGGGTTTATTCATGTGTTTGTATCTAAAGAGCAAACCAAAAACGCAAGTTATTTACATTTAAACGTAGACATCTTAAAGTGCATGATAACTGGATGTAGCAGTCCCATATGCAACATATCATCGTGACTTAGCGAGGCAAACTTCTTTCCGTTCAATTTCTGTCTAGAACATTTCTCCAGAGTTGACTGGTTCAACTTGATATATCTCAAAACTTCGAAAAATTGCTGGCTGTTCAACTTGTAAAGATTTCCATCTCCCGGAATTTCAAAATGGGGTTCGCCTGTTAAGGTTTTTGTAGTTATAATATAACAAAGTCTTCCACAATATTCACAATTATGTTCATAATTTATTGATGGAATAACTTTAATGTTCTTTGTATTGTTAATTTTTCAACAATTGCGATACTTTTTTTGTTGTTTTAGTTTCAAATTTGTTTAAATATCTTTTTCTAAGATTTTATGTTAGATATATTAAGTAGGTGTAACTTATTAAATTTTTAACATAACATTGAAATATAATGAAACAACCAAAAAACCAATATACATATTATAGGTTAGGTGTAAAAAATTGTGATAAAATGTTGATAATAATCGAAAACGGTATCATTTCATAAATAATAATAATAATAATGGGAACACTACTTTTATTCAATCAAGTATCATAAAACATACAGAAGAATACAATATTCAATATAATAATAATACTACTACTACTAATGATAATACAAAAGAAATTATTTGAGCCAACCTTCTTTTGACTGCAGACCGGTTGCTGTGCCTATGGAGTCATCGTCCTCTGTTTCAATCCTGCTTGACGAGGCTTCGTTAAAAATAGTTTTTCATCAGTGTTTATTCATTAAACTAAATTTATGCATTTCTATATTATAGTATTATAAAATAATCTTACATGATGTCGGTTTGTTATCGGCAACCTCTTGTGGAATTTCCAATTGAGGTTGTAGCAGTTTTGTCTGTTGCAGTTGTTGTTGCAATTGTTGTTGCGTTTTTATGAGTAACAATTGTTGTTGCTGTAATTCGTTTGATAGTCGTTTATGTTGATCTTGCAGCAGTTGGATCTGTTCAAGTTGAGTTTGTACCTGCTGTGAGTCGTTGATAGTGTTAGTTTTAATTTTGACGTTTGGTTGCAGCTGGGTTGGTTGCTGTGATTGCAGTTGTAGCTGCTGTAATAGCTGCTGCAGTTGATGCTGCTGCAGTTGAAGTTGTTGATCTGACATCTGAGGTTTGACTGGTGGCTGTTGTTGTAGCTGTAGCAAATGCAATAGATTCTCTTGTAGCTCTTGCGATAGTTGCTGTTGTAACTGTGGCGGCGATTGCGACTGCTCAGACGGTTGTTGCGATGATGGTGTTGCTGTCGGTGGCAAGGGGGCTACTCTTTTTTTACTTCGGTGAAGAGCTAAAATGTCATTCTCTTTGAACTACAATTAATTTAAACCACAATATAAGAAATATTGACAGCTAATATAATATTATTTTATGTAATTTATTTAAAAATATAATATTATTTTATGTAAGGTTTTAAAAAATGGTTTTCATTTAAAAAATTTTATAAATTGTGTTTTGAAATGCTTCAATAACATAAAACTTACGAGTGTATCGTTCGAGTTACTGATAAAATACCTGGAATGCACGTTTTTTATATTAAATTATAATTCTCTTTTATGAAAATCCTACATATGTTATAAAAATTCATAAACCAAATTAATTAACTTTAAATTTCAAACTCAAACTATTTTTAGTTCCATTACATTTTACGTGAATAATGTATTAAGAAATAATAAAGTAAAAAACGAAATGATTATATGATTTGAAGTACGCTAACCAATGAGCGAATCTCTCAAAAGCCCTTTGCGGAGGTAGCAGCGAGATGAAAACATCCTTTATCAACACCTCGACGCATCTATCAAACTTCGACAACACTGGTTTTTTACTCTGTGACGGCAGGGAAGATGATGATGATGATGAAGATGATTTTTGTTGCAACGGACTGGAAGTTTTATCCAAGGTTTGTTTCAGCTTCACGTAGATGAGTGTACGCAGCGGGATTCGGAAAGCCGGAGCATCTGGATGTTCGATGCTTGTCAGTACGGACTGTTCCTGGATGGGATTGAGCAGCAGAATGTTCTGATCGAAAGGAAGATTGTCTGAGGACAGCGATGAAGAAGGGAATGAGGGTGTGGATGTGATTGGTCTGTTGATGTCAGGACTTGCTTTTGATATCTGAACTTCCAGATCGCAAAAATTTAAATATTTTGAAAGTTGTTTCATCGTATATTCATCATTCAAATTTAGATTGTCATAACCACTTTGTTCTAGATCGTCACCTTTTTCCTCCATCAGTTCTTTGAATACAGCACTGCATGAACGTGCAATATGAATTCTTGCAACCGTCGCATTATTATTCTTTTTCAACATTGTGATCGAACCACCTCCATCATAATCTCGTTTCATTTTGTCTTCAGTGTTTTCAGCCACTCTAACGACATCACCAACTCTCAAGTTAGGGCTTCCACTCAAATCGGTACTAACAGCTTTAGTCCAACCCCACCAACCAGATGAAACCAAATTGGAAAGTCCACGATAAAACTTGGATTTGACTTTGAAGTACGCTTGGTAAGTCAGCGGGATTGCGTAGTAGTTGAAAGTGGTCATGGGATCATTTGTTGGCGTATTTGAAGGGTTGCCTAAAATAGATCAATTTTATACTTGAAATTTTTTAGAAGCTTTTTCTGAATGCTAGCTGCGATTCAAAACATTAAACAGCTGATGTGAATTGCAATATGCACAACTTTTTGAATTAAGTTTGAATTAATAGATAGCAAAGATGAAAATAAATGAACTGACCAGCTGTGATAGCAAGTACTTTGATGTGCTTGGTCCAACCGTGCAGGACTAGTTGTGTGTCGTTGGTGATGGAATGGTTGTTGAGGACTGTCGTGGCTTCCTGTAGAGTTGTCACAACAACTTTCAAGGGGAAGTTGTTTTTGTTGTTGTTGACAAAAGTGTTCAGAAGTGTTCCTTCGTAAGTCATTTTGTTGCTGGTCAGTTTGTCGTCGGTGAGTTTGTTGACGCTGCTGGTTCAGTTGCCAATGTTATAGTGTTATTGAAAAAATGATAACAGTTTGTTGATGTATTTTACAACCAAATAGAAAAACCCTGCTGCAGCTAAGAATAGTAAGACTCCAACAAGAGCTGCAGAAGATATTTATTTAACTTCTTGACTTTCTGCAAACGCCGAAGGCTCAAAAAGCCAATAATACAATAGCTTAACTTATTATTTATTAGCTGACGTCAAGACGTCAAACGAAGCAGAACGTACAATTGAAAATGCTTGCATACTAGCATTCAAACGTATATACATACATACATACATACATACATACATACATACATACATACATACATACATACATACATACATACATACATACATACATACATACATACATACATACATACATACATACATACATACATACATACATACATACATACATACATACATACATACATACATACATACATACATACATACATACATACATACATACATACATACATACATACATACATACATACATACATACATACATACATACATACATACATACATACATACATACATACATACATACATACATACATACATACATACATACATACATACATACATACATACATACATACATACATACATACATACATACATACATACATACATACATACATACATACATACATACATACATACATACATACATACATACATACATACATACATACATACATACATACATACATACATACATACATACATACATACATACATACATACATACATACATACATACATACATACATACATACATACATACATACATACATACATACATACATACATACATACATACATACACACACACATACGTTAACTCGTTAACTTATGTTTGCAAGAGGGAGTATTTCCGAATAAATGTATGCACGCAGTTATTACACCTGTCTTGAAGGAAATGAAAGATGATAGAAATGAAATGAAAAGTTACAGACCCATATCAAACATTTGCTTCGTTTCTAAAGTTATTGAACGAGTTGTTGCCAGTCAGCTACTGAGTCATCTACACAAAAATAGCTCAATACCAGTATTTCAATCTGGATATAAACGTTATCACTCAACTGAAACAGCGCTGCTGTATGTTATGTCTGAGTTGTTTAATGCAATTGATAAACAATATGTTTCGTTGCTTACATTCTTGGACATGAGTGCTGCCTTGGATTGCGTAGACCATCAAATACTGATGAATCGCCTACAATATGATTACGGAGTTACTGGAGTTGTAGTTAATTGGTTCAATTCGTACTTGTTTGGCAGAACTCAACAGGTTTTTTTCGGGAACAAATTATCTGGTATTGAAGCAATGTCATCTGGTGTACCACAAGGCTCAGTCCTGGGACCTATTCTGTTTGTCCTGTACACTGCTGAAGTATATGAAGTAATAGAATCCTTTGGATTTTCATATCATGCGTACGCTGATGATATCCAAATAATAGTTAGCAGTGAACCAGAACTGTTTGAAAGTAAAGTTGAAAATCTCATCGAATGCTTGACTAAAATAGGTACATGGATGTCAAGAAATTGTCTCAAATTGAATCAAGATAAAACTCAATTTTTACCTGTCGGTACATGGCAACAGCTTTCTATCAATCAATCAATCAATCAATCAATTAGCTTATAAAGCGCTATTTCCGCGATGTTCAACAGCGCTCCTCAATGAATTTTGAAAACAGATGGGTCTTGAGATCCGCTCTGAACTTCGCAAGTGATGGAGAAATAGTTAGAGAAGTAGGTAGAGAGTTCCAGAGAAAAGGACCAGAAAAAGCAAAAGCAGATTTGGCAAAAGAGTGTTTAACACGAGTTAAGAAAAAGCGAGAAGAAGAAGACGATCGTAAACCGGGGCGTTTAGGTTCAATTAATATATCTGATAAGTACTTAGGAAATAATTTAGATTGAGACTTATACATGAACGTGCAAATTTTAAAAATTATTCTATATTTTATAGGTAGCCAGTGCAAGAGAACAAGATATGGAGATATATGAGAAAAGAAAGGGGCACGAGCAACTAGACGAGCAGCAGAGTTAAAAGCTTTACTTAAAGGATAGAGTATAGAGTCAGGAAGACCATAGTAGAGCGAGTTACAATAATCAATCCTAGATAAGACTAACGAAGTAACAAGAAGGAGAAGAGTAGGATCATCAAGAAAAGGCAAAAGTTTTTTTATTCTACGTAGATGAAAGTAAGAGCTTCTAGCAACACTATTAATCTGAGAAGAGAGAGACATAGTAGAATCAAAGATAANA